CATGGTAATATGGTATAAATTTTGCAAAAATGTCAGAATTAAAAATTAACACAATTCTTAAACTTTTCTGTCCGTGAGAGCCCCACTTGAAAATATTATGGAAATGAAGCATCCTCTCCTTGTATATAAATATACAGGATTTTCATAGCTGCAAAGAACTTAATCCCTTCTCTGATACATGCTTAATGATTGCAACCTCATGAAATTTCTTTATGCATCTGAAAAGTAATATATAGGAAAAAGAGAAAACATTATAACGGCTTTATTAGTGCCTTAGCATTAGGGGTAATTTTACTTTATTGTTACTTAACTTTTTCAACACTTTGCTTTAAAACCATTAGTCTAGCTTTTTTTTTTTTTTTAAAGATTTTATTTGAGAGAGAGCATGGGGGGTGAGGGTGGAGGGGCTCAGCTCAGGGCCTGCTAAAGTTTCTCTCTCCCTCTCTCTGCCCCTCCCGGCCGTGCGCACATGTGTGCTCTCTCTCAAAAATAAGTAAATCTTAAAAAAAAAAAAAGTCACAATGGTAAGTTAATTCTGGGGTTGGAGGGCAGAGAAGACGTTTTTTTTAAGAGATTTTATTTATTTATTTGGCAGATAAGAGACAAAGCGAGAGAGGGACAACAAGCAGGGGGAGTGCGAGAGGGAGAAACAGGCTTCCCGCTGAGCGGGGAGCCCGATGTGGGGCTCGATCCCAGGACCCTGGGATCATGACCTGAGCCAAAGGCAGACGTTTAACGACTGAGTCACCCAGGTGCTCCTGGAGAAGGCATTTTTCCCGGGAAGAGACACATGGGGGTTTCTGAAATTTGGCCATCGTTGTTTAAGTTTTGGGTACTTTTCATGTGTGTATATTTTGCAATAAAATTTAAAAAAAAAAACTGTTTGCCAGGGTTGGGGATTAGAGAGAACATTTGGACAGAGAATGGAATGTGGGAGAACAAATAGGAGCACATATGTTTTTATTTTCTATTTTAATAAAAATTGTGATATTGGAACAAGGAAGACTGTGATACATTTCACAAGATTCATAGCTGGTTACATCTACTTTTGACTGTTTTATTACATTTCCGTCAGTTACAATAGTTTTCTCCTCTGGGATGTTGGGACATTAAAATAGGATGTTTCCCACCTCCTCCCAGGCCCCATTTACTACCCAAATGCAAAATGTCTGGGCAGGCAGTTGCCCGCTGAGGCCGGGACCACTTCTCTCTCTGTCCTTGTGATGCTGCTCTGGTCAGAAACCAATCTGGTTGCTCTTGGCATTGTAGGAGACCAGTGTACTACTGAGGCATTCCGGACATTCTCAGGGCCGCCTTAATATCACGTTTAGAAGGACAGAGTGGAAGCTCCTTGAGAAGTTTCTGCTGATGAACTTGTGATTGTTTTATGGAGCGCCAGTGCGGGGAGAAGCAGATGTCTGCGCTATTGTCTTCCCACACACACGTGTCTGCTGGGAGTGAGACTTTCTTTGCAAGAACTGGCCTGTGCTCTGTTCCGGTAGGAAAGAACTGGTGACAAAGGAAATTCTAGGTGGACATATTCCCTGAGACTCTCTTCCCCCAATGCTCAGACCATCTGACTCTTCAACAATAGGAGATCAGTAATGCTAATTCTGATATATTCATGGGGTGAAATGCTATCCAGCCATTAAATAGCATCATGTTTTAAAGACTGCTTAGTGGCACGGAGCACTCTGCATCATCTAATATTAAGTGGAAAAAGTAGAATGTGGAACGGTGTATACAATTTGATACTGATTCTGTTAAAAAAGAACACAGCCAGAACGATCATTTTATGACTCTTATTTTCCCTTTTGTATTAGCCAATTTTTTCTATAATGGCTATGTATTAGTTTTACAGGCAGAACAAAATTTAGGGCCTGCAATCCGTATAAACAGCAAACACTATAAGGAATTGTGGTAGAGGTGAGCTAGCGGTCTAGCAAAACAATTTCCTTTTCTTCCAGAGGACCTGGGTGCACGCTGTTGTGTAGCCTTACTTGATGTTAGGTGTGACAGTGTGACTGTGGTAGCAAATGGGATGAGTGGAGATGCTGTGGGTACCTTCCAGACCCGACCTATCACCTGCTCCTGTGCCTGACCATCCAGGTTCTTCCCCTACCTGGGTTTGACCCAGATGAACACAGGGAGCTTGGAAGCCATCTTTAGGAGCCTGAGTCTGGGCTCCTTAATCATGGGCACACATGCAATTTATTGTCCCAGCTGGGACACTTGAGAGTAAAAGGGGCAGGAACATTCATTTTGGACTGTTTGTGAGCAAGAAATAGGTTTCTGTTGGGTTAGTCACTGAACTGCTGAAGTTTATGTGGTAGAATAGTTAGGGTTATCTTAACTAACACATGTACCAACTTACTTAAGCCTACCTTTTTTCTGATATTTGGAAGAGAGAGAGAGCACGAGAGGGGGGAGGGTCAAAGGGAGAAGCAGATACCCCGTTGAGCAGGGAGCCCGATGTGGGACTCAATCCCAGGAGTCCTGGGATCATCACCCGAGCCGAAGGCAGACACTTAGCAGACTGAGCCACCCAGGCGCCCCGAATCCTATAGTTTAAATTATCCAACATAAACATCTCCCTCTGGGGCACCTGGGTGGCTCAATCAGTTAAGCAGCTGCCTTCGGTTCAGGTCATGATCCCAGGGTCCTGGGATTGAATCCCACATTGGGCTCTCGGCTCAGCAGGAAGTCTGCTTCTCCCTCTCCCTTTACCCCTCCTCCCTGCTCCTGCTCTCTCTCTCTCTCTCTCAAATAAATAAGTAAATCTTAAAAAAAAAAATCTCCCTCTGTTAGTGAATATCTGTTAATGAATTAATTAAATATCTGTTAATGAATATTGTTTTAAAATCTCGTTCATATTTAATAAACAGGTTTTAAGTTATTTAAATAATACATAAAGTTGCAGAAAAATTAGGAAAGTGGATCTATAGGAAGAACAAGAAAAGCCTAAAAGTAAAATATATGTGTAAGTAAAAATTTGATTTTTTTTTTTTTTTTGAGACTAGCATATTCTGCTCTCACAGGCTTCTGACTTAGGTATACCTGGGAGCATTCTTCCATGGGGCAAAATTTAATTCTGTTTCATAACTTAAAAGTTTCCATAGTGTTTAGTAGTACATAATTTTTAAAAAAAAGAATCCCCACATTAGTTCTGGACACTGGTGTTGTTTCTAAGATTTGACTTGTGTAACAAATCTATAAGGAATGACCTTGCCCAGTTTTCTCAGTGTGGTTGATGGGTAGGTCAAGGACTCCTTTGTTCTTCTCTTGCGATTTTTTAGGACCTTTGTATATAAGGTGTGAAAATGCCATCTCTCCATGTCCATACAGAATCTCGGTATTATCATTTTTGTAAATTTTTCTCACCTGTGCTATTGCTAGTGCCGTGAACACCAGGGAAGACTTGGCAGATGGATGGAGGCACAGTCATATGCGAAAAATTGGCTTTTATGTGCTTTTCACCTTATTTTTCACTGTGCTGGATTTTGCTTTTTCACATCCATGTGATTTATTTGTTATCCTTTTCAGTGAAATTCTTCCTCTTTTTGATGGTGGTCCCACTTGATTCAGTGTTTATCCAGTTGTCCAGCTATTGTGAATTTACTGTGTTCTGTCATGTCCAACTCACTAGTGGTGTTGTTTGAAGGATGTAGGACCCTGGGACGCCTGGGGGGCTCAGTCAGTTAAGCATCCGAACTCTTGATTTCGGCTCAGGTCATGATCTCAGGGTCAGGCTCCGAGCTCAGCAGGGAGCCTGCTTGAGATTCTCTCCCTCCCTCTCTGTATCCCCGCCTCCCCCCTCTGCTCACACAGGTGCATGCGCTTTCTCTCTAAAATAAATAAATATTTTTTAAAAAAGGATACAGTACCCTCAAATAAGGTTATCTGGTCACAGTGAACTATCTTGCACCTGACATGTGGCATTTCATGGGTTTGTGGACTGCAGTTCATGTCTTCTACCTGTGAAATAAAAATAAGGCTGCCGCTCCCTCCTACCGCCCTCTCTTCCTCACCTCAGGACGTGGCCTCTACCGTGCATAGATTTGGACATCTCAGGACCTGTGGGTCTCCAACTTTCTTCCAATTTCACATTGCCCTTTTGGAACCAAAGTCATGCATGTGAAACTATAATGTGCGATACAGATATAATTCAGGGATTTCAATTATTTTCAAGACAGGCTTTCTCATGGATTCTAAATACAGATCCATTTGTGCCAAACCTGAACTGCTTGGTGGAAGGAGGTGGAAGGGGCATTTAGGAGACATTTCTCATTAAGTTTCCCAATGGCAGGGACAGAGCCAGTCATGTACCTGGGGAGAGAGATTAACATTTGATCCAGGATGGTCTGCAGCCCGGAGCCCTCTGGCTCACAAAGCTGCCGTAACCCAGGTTGCCAGCAGGGGGAGGTGGGGTCCTGAGGCCAGGCCAAGCTGTGCCCCCTTGCAGAGAGAGAGGTCCTGGAAACAGGAAACTGAGTGCCCGTGACATGGCCCCCTGGCCTTTTGGGTCCCTGGAGTTACCCCCTTTCTACTGACCAAATTGTTGGGTTGGTGATGGTGGTTGGCTTAGAGAAGAAATTTCTAAGGCCCAGAGGGGATACTTTTTGGGGAGAGGATTGTCCTTCTATAATAGAGTTTAGGCTGAACCAAGGGCTTCTATAATAGAGTTTAGGGCTAAGCACCAAGGAGGTGTAATTGAGAAATTGATGAGAAGCTAGGCAGCATAGGGTTTAGGGAGGGTGGAGGGCTGGGGGACAAAGGAGGCAGCAAAGCCTGGAGTTGGCAGCAGAAGACTGCCTGGGGCAGTGTTGCTTCATACCGGAAGTGGTTCGGTGAATAAATAAGACCTCAGTCATATTGCCTCTAGAGAGCCATTTATTATGGCCCTGCCATCCCTACCCTCCACCCCCCAGCCCCAAGGGATTCTTGCCTCTGCCCCAGAAAAGATGGCCAAGCACAGAGGGAGGTCAGTCTCATGCCTGTTGTTAGAGGCGCTTCATTGTTCTCTTTACCCAGGGCAGGAAGTGGGAGACCTTCATGAAGACCCCTGGAGGGTTCCCGTCTCCTTTTCCATAGGAGAAAATCCCCTGGACCACGTTGTTACACACGAGGGGGCCCCCGGAGTCTCCCTGTGGGCAGAGAGAGGAAGGACTGAACTGGCCTCCCAGTGGTCCTGCCTTCCCTGCTGCGCTGGGGATGGGTGGTCTGTGTTAGGGGGCTGCATGGGAGATTGGGCCCAGGGCAGACCTTGTCCCCTCTCTCAGTCCCTGGGCTCCAGCCTGGCACTGACTGTTCTCTCCAGCTCTACCCAGGCCAAACCTTTCTCTCCAATCCTCAGGGAACCTCGGGGGTGGAGGGGGGGGGGGGGGGGGGGGGGGGGGTGGGTGGGAGGGATGCTGTTTGGGATGACAGATCCTTCCTCCCCTCCATCCTGATCCACTTGGGGGAAAACTGAAGACTGGATCTGTGGACCCAGCTGCCCAAGCTCTCAGGCTGAGGCACGAAGATATGGCCACTCCCACACCCTGGACCGCCCCAAGTTCCTCTCTCCTGGGGCCTGTCTAGGTAGATGCTGGAAGCCTGACCTTGAAGCCGGTCTTCATCTTCTTCGGGTCTCCTACACAAATCTGGGTGGCCCCGCTGTAATAGCCACGGAAGAGGGATTCACACTCCCAATCCTTCTGTACTTCCAGCGACACCTCCTGCAGAGTGGTTGCTAAGGAGCTCATTGAGACCCGCCCCCAGCCGGCCACACTGCACACCTGTCCTGGCCGCACCCGGGTCTTGCCGGTGGGCAGGCGGAGGGGCCTCACCGCTGCAGTCTGCTTGGCCTCTCTCTCCAGCTGATGGGAAGAGGCAAGAGAGTCCAGCTCAGCCAGTGGCCTCTGGGCCTGGATACCCCGATGAGGCTGCACCGTCTTCTCTCTGCCCTGAGCCACGGGGACTGGTCAGGCGGCCAGGGTGGGAAGGAGCGGGGGGTGGGACAGGTCCCAGTGGGAAGAGGAAACAGTGTGGACCCAGGAGAGCAAGGGCAGCAGGGAGGTTTCCTTACCTTCAGTAACATGATGTCGTTGGAGTAGTTCTTCGGATTATAGTCTGGGTGGGGGATGGCTTTTCTCACCGGAATGTCCTGCTGGGTCATCTCCTGTTTCTTGATGTTGTGGGCCCCCAGGACGACACTGATGGAGCTGCAGAGAGAACAGAGTGGGGTGTGGGGGTGTGAAGTCACAGGATACAGCCAGCGGCTGTGAAGGGCACATGGCAGCCAGGGCAAGGCAGGACTGGAGCCGAGGGGGAAATCAAGATGACAGATGGGTCCTAGATCCTCTTTTTTTCAATGACACTGAAGGTAGGGCTTCTGCAAGCTTTCTTTTGCCTTCAGACAATATCATGAAATTACTCGAGTTTGCATTTTGGCTCTAGTGCATGCTTCCATCCTCCATGGCTGCTTTATTTGCCTGGTGTGGTCCCTCTCTTCTCAACTGTGCCACTTATTCTCACATCAGACCCTCTGACCCCAAAAGCTTACCTGTCCTACTTCTCAGCCTTTCATTGCCCCAGCCATGCTCTTGGCTGGCTTCTTGGATGAGCTCTCATAGGCTTGAGTTATCAGGAGCCCTGGGTGCTTCCCTGGGCTGCAGCCCCGGGGAGAGGACAGGGGTCCCTGTAGGGGTTTCAGATGTGCAGGCTGGATGCTGCCCCTCACCTTCCCCGGCAGTGAGCAGCTGTCAGAACAAAGTACTTGTGCACCAGGACACCGCCACACCTCCTCTTCTTGTCCTTATCCAGAAACTGAACAAATGCCATGTAGGGCCGGGAGTGGGGCTTGGCCTCATGGCCCCCGATGATCTCCTCTGAAAGAAAAGACTGGAAGATGGGGTGTCTGGGGGCGGCTGTGGTCAGGAGGGAAGGCTTAGGAAGGTGGTGATCGAGGGCAGGGTCTACAGTGCCCTGCGGACCCCAGGGTGGGCAGTCCTCCCAAGTTCTTGTAGCAGGATGACCTTTCTTGAACCTTGAGCCTCAGAACCCCCCTGAGAAAGGGGCAGTCCTTGTTCTGCGCATCCCACTTCAGGCACACTTATGGAGGAGATAAGATCTATCTTTAAGACAATGGAGTCCCAGAAGATCATGGACAGGACTCCCCTGATGCCTTGATTCTCAGTGAATCTCCCAGGCCCCTCTGAGCCTTTGCTAGCATCCTGATGGGTGCCATTTTCTAATAAACTATCTATGAGTTTATTGAGTTGGATTTTCTAAAATCCTCATGTCCTAGGGGATAGCACATGGTCTCAGTAGACATTTTTAGGTTGCACAAAGAAATGGCCTTCGATGAGCTTTTGGCTGAGGTTGGGTGGAGATAGTGCTGGCGGGATGCAAGGCCACAGGAAGCGGGGAGGGCACTGCCAAAGACAGTGGAGCAGCTGAGGGCCTGGGGCAGGCAGGCGGAGGTGGTGCTGACAACGGGTTGCCCAGGCCTGGGCCAGAGCTTTGGGTGCAGTCATCTAGCTGCTGCTGAGATCAACTGCTGAGAAATTTAACTGGCTCTTTAAGCTGGGGCCAGTGACACCTCCCACTACTACAGCCGGTTTGCCTGAGCTTACCTTTCCTGGGTTGGAGTGAGGGCTTTTAATTACCTGTTTTTTGTAGCTTCATATCTTCTGCCAAATGCCTTTCTCCAAACAACTCACTTTCCAAGTGATAAGAGGGAGGCTAACCCGTACTAACCCTCTTAGTTAGCACCCTTCCTGCCGGCCATCTTTGTTGAGCGTCTGTTTAGCATCAGACCTGTTAGTCTGGATTTGGGGTAGGAGCTGGGGTTCAGAAAGTTCCCGGGCTCCAATTGAGGATGATCCTTGACTGTGCTGGGCAGAAGGGTCAAGAGTACAGGGGGTTTTGGGGGATGGGCTCAGGTCTCTGGAATGGGGATGGTCACTCACCTGTCCCAGCACCAAGGGGCAGAAGAAGGGCCAACAAAAGCAGGAGTGGCTGCATCTTCCCTGAAGTCTGCTCAGGTCAGAGCTGTTGGTTGTCCTTCTTTCCAGATACAGAGCCCTGAGGGAGCTCAAGTGATAGAGGGGTGGCTCACTGATCTTCTAGGCCTCTTTAACCTCTGCCCCTCTATGGCTGGGTGTCATCATTTAAGGTGGTTTGCTGAAGTTCTCTGATTTCAGCTATCACACTTGCACTCCCACTGCTGAGTCATAAAGGGAAAGCAAGAAGAAAGAACAAGAAAGTGAAGGCTGTGGCTCCCGCCAGCAGGAGGGCTGCTACCTCAGAAGCCCCTCAGTGATGGACTCAAGAATGTCTCCATTTCTCGGCTCTTTTTCCATTCTGAGGAAATCATGAATAATTATTGAGCTAGCTAGGTTCAGGGGTGTGAGACACACAGCTCCTGCCCTTGAGGTGCTGATGGTCGTCTGGAGCAGCCAAAGAATCTGTGGTGAGTGTACATTTTCCCACAGTCGAAGCACACTCATCAGTGGCAGACGTTCGGCAAACCACTTTTTCTGTTCAGCCTGCCTTCTCTAAGGTGGATGTTCTAAAGATGAGATTACTTTTTCTGAATACATTCTTATATAAGAGACTTAGAGATTGTTGAAAATGGAAGAAAACATTTACTCAATAACTATAGGCTATAGGACAACTTTGAAACCATAGGATACCTTTGAAACACAAATTTTTATTGTAATGAGTTTCCTTTGGAGACACACACACACACACACACACACGTGTGCACGCACACACTCACACACACACACACAGAAGTAGCGTGAGGCAGGAAGAGGCTGGATCAGACCAAGATGGAAGAGCACCCTCAATGTCATTTGGGGCTGCGGGAAGATGGGCATCAGGACACCAGAGGCTGTGCTGGGCTCTGGGACCATCGCAAGGCTGTGACCAGCACTTGGGCTAGGCCTGGGAGTACCGAAAGGCCCTCCAGAAACTCTGAGGCTCCCAAGCTGCCGCTCTGATTTGGGAAGGAAGTGCTGCAGAATCTTCCCGCTTAGTTCTATTAGGATGAAGTGACCCCCTATCCCAGAGTTTCTTAGGTGGTTCTCCTTCCAAATGTGGATTCCTTTATGTTGTCGTGTTGGGAAGGATGGGATGGGGGTGTTGGTGTGGGATGAGGTAGGAGGGCAATATGGATGAGATAAGAGGGTCCTTTAGGAGAAGGTCATTTTTCTTGGGGCAGTGTCTCCCTTTTCCCGATGGAGCTTACGTTCAACCTGGCAGGGGGAGGTGCTGCTGGGAGGTGTATTTGGAAGGAGCTGGGTATCAAAGCAACATGACTTTTTATTCTAGAGAAGTGTGAACAGATGGTGGCTGGACACGCAGTAGGTAACTAACAAATGTTTTGGTGAATAAAGGAGGAATCTAATTTCCACTCAAAAGGTGGAAGTTTATTAAACCCTGGCGGCCTCCTCTCCACCCCTTTCCCAGTGCAGTTCTGGCCTCTGCTCCAGAGAAGATGGACAGATTGATCCTGGGGGCACGTCAGTCTGGTCCCTGCAGGCTGAAGCATCTCATTATTCTTTCTATCCAGCGCAAAAAGCTTGAGATCCTGGTGTAGACACGTGGAGGTTTCCCATCTGGTCTTCCAAAGGAGACAATGCCCTGGGCCACGTTGTTACACACAAGGGGGCCCCCGGAGTCTCCCTGTGGGCAGAGGGAGGAAGGACTGAGTTGGGCTTTCTCTCGGTCCTGTCCTCCCTACCGCCCCTGGGGGTAGATGGTCTCTGTTAGGGGGCTGTGGGTGAGATCAGGGCCAGGGCAAGCTTTGTGGCCTTCCTTGGTCCTTGAGCTCCAGCCTGGCCCCGATAATCCCCTCCCTTTTCTCCCTCAGAAAGCCTCTGCCCATAAGTAGCTGTGGGACAGTCCCCCCACCCCTCCCCACCAGGGAGACAGGACCAGAGACTGGATTGGATAGAAAGGCTGAGGGCATAGAAATACAGCTAGTTCTCACTGTCCCTTCTCCTCAAAGCTTGGTTGTCCCAGGGCTGGGCATGGACAATGCTGGGGATCTCACCTTAAAAGAAGACTTCTTCTTTTTTGGATTCCCCACACACATCTGGGTTGTACTGTCGTAGAGGTTTTTATAGCATGAGATGCATTGTTTGTCCCTTTGGACTTCGAGCTCTACCTCGTGCAGTTTCCTTGCCTCAGAGGTGCTGTTCACGCTGAGGAGCCCCCAGCCGGCCACACTGCACACTGTTCCTGGCCACACCTGCGCACTCCTCTTGGGCAGTCTGAGGGGGCTCACATGGGCAGTCAGGTGGGCCTTCTTTTCCAGCTGAATGCAGAGGAAAGGAGTTCTAACCTACCGAAGGCTCACAAAGACTTTAGGGGCAGTCATGGGGTTGCCCTCCTCATAGCCCCGGGATAAGTGAAAATGTCATAGTGGGAAGGAGGGACAGGAATGAGGCCACAGGGGATGCACAATCCCCAGGAATAAAGTGTGCAAGAACCAGCGGACCGAGGGCCCTACCTGCAGTAACATGATGTCGTTGAAGACGTATTTAGGATTATAGTCTGGGTGGTGGATGGCTTTTCTCACCGGAATGACCTGCTGGGTCCTCTCCTGCCTCTTGATGTTGTGGGCCCCCAGGATGACGTTGATGGAGCTGCACAGAGAGTGAGTGGGAAGTGGGGTCACAGGACATACAGCCCAAAAGCCATGGACGAAACGGGACAGCTCAGGTCAGGGCAGGACTGGGATGGAGAGGAATTCTAGGGGATGCGGCCCCAGGGCTGAGCATCTCTGTACCCTCTGCTTCTTGGCAGCCCAGGCTGGGTGGCAGTTCTTGGAAGAGGGATCCCCATGTGGAGTTAACAGAAGGGTGGGGTTGCAGACGCTGCTTCTCACCTTCCGTTGCAGTGAGCTACTGTTAGCACAGAGTCCTCCCGTACAAGGAAACCCCCACAGATTTTATTTGGATTCTGGATCCGGAGAAATGCCATGAAGGGATGAGAATGAGGCTTGGGTTCATGGCCCCCGATTATTTTCCCTGAAAGAAACAGTTTACCCTGACTGCTGTGCTCATGGCGCTAAAGGCTGGAAAGGGGAGATGGGGATAAACTGAAGCAGGAGGGAAAGAGTTGGGGTGGCAGAGAGCAGGGTCTGTAGTAACCAGTAGCAACCAAGAAGGGTTCCTCAGACAGCATTCCTGACTTGCCAAATGACCCACAAGACTCAGATTCTACCTCCAACAGAGAGAAGAACAGTCCTTGTTCCTTAATTCCTGCAGTGGACACATATGGTGGCAGATGGAATTTACATTTCAAACAAGCAGTGAAGTCCCCACAGATCCTGGAAAATCCTTTCCCTCATAGTATCTGGGTTCTCTCTCCCCTTTTGTTTTCCAGAACTTACTGAGCTGCTCCTCATTTGTAATGTTTGGAACATGAGCTCAAAATGCTCATGTTTGTGTTGTGGGTTGTGTTTGATCTTCGCTAGAGCCTGACACATACTAGGTGCCCAGTAAATGTCTTAGTTGCATGAAGAAATGGCTCCCAATTAGCTGCTGAATAAGCATTGGTTGCGGTTCTAAGTACCAGGAAATATGGGGCCTGCCAAAGCCATTGTGCCCGTTGTGGCTGAAAAATTACCAAACATAAGTATTAAAGGGACCAGGATGCCACCAACTCTGGGACCAACTGGGTCCTTGGCTTCTTTCTTCGGCAGCGTAAGAATGACAAAGCTTGAAGAACTGGGTGGAGATTGAGGATAGATCTTAAGACATTGAGTTAGAAATTTAGTGGGCCTTGCTTTGACTACAGAAGCCAGCCCCTTTTTCCAAACTGCCAATTCCTGGGGGATTAATTATTTCTCATTCCCACCTTCCAACATTCTTCTAGATGCCTTTGTATAAGAACCCAATTTCCAGATGACAAAGGTAAGACCTGAGGAGGGGATAGGACCTACGGCTCCCCCTGGGTAACAGCCTTCTGTCCTGCCATTCATGCTGAGTGTTTATCCTGCTCCAGATTTGCCCATCTTTGCGTGAGTTTGGCAAATCTGATGTGGGATCAAAACTCAGCAGGGCTAGGGTGTGCCTGAGTATAGCACCTGAGCAGGGCTGTGCCACAGTGGGATGGGGCTAGGCCTCTGTTGGGGGGGGGCAGTCATTTACCTGTCTCAATCTCAGGGGCCAGAAGAAAGGCCACCAGGAGCAGGAGCAGCTGCATGGTCCCGGGAAGGCTGCCCAGGTTGGAGTTGCCAGTACTTCCTCTTAGTCTTCTAACCCCCACGTTCCTCTCTGGTGTTGTAGTCTTTATCACATAAGGCTTCCCCTGAGTGCCTCCTACTGCTGTCTGATCAAGTCCTGGCCTGAGTGAAATAACTTACCAGTCACCACATCAGCACTGGTAGCTCTTGACTACACCAGCTGAGAACAGGAACCACAGGCTATGGGTGGGGCTGTTAAAGACATTGCATCCATGAGTAGCAGGGCCCTGAGCTGCAGAAACCTGAGCCTCTTGATGATACATCCAAGAAGGTCTTCTTTTCCTTAACTCTTTTTAGACTATCAGGATGATCCTTCATTGAGCCCCCTTTTGTTGAAACTCAAGGGTACTGGAGGTGAGATCCCTTGCTTCTGGTGGAGGAGTCAAAATCACTAGTGATCTGATAAGGATGGTGAGGGCCACAGAGAGAGGGATGGACTGAATGAATGGTGTGGGAGTAATGTTGAAGAGGGCTTGCTCCATTTACTGAAGAATTGCATAGTTTAAAATGACAGCAATGACACCACCATCACCACTATTTATCTTTCCCATGAATCTGTGAGGTGTCAGGGTTTAGTGTGGATAGCTCTCCTGTGCTTCCCTTGGTGTCAGGGGAGGCTTGAAGCCTGGAGACTGGAATCACCTGAAGTCTCACTCACCCATGCCCAGTGGTTGGTGCTGGTTGTCTTCTGGGCCTGTCAGTTCCTCTCTATGAGGTCCTCTCATGTGGTCTCTGCATGGGATTGTTCAGTCTTCCTTGAGACATG